TCAACAATAATGATGTTTCAACAAAACTTCGCCAATTAATAGTATAATAGTCATAAATCTATTAGATATATCTATATTTTGTAGTAATCAATGAAGGCATATGTGAGACGGTATAGGTTAGCTATGGGTATGTGTGGGTGTGGATAGGGATGAAAACGGTACGGATATTTTCCGATCGTATTCGAAACCGAATCCGTTTAGAGGAGTTGAGATATGTCCGTATCCGAGTCCGGATATCCAACATCCGATACCGTATCCGTATCCGAATACTCAAATCGCATATTTATGATGTCGATATCCAACTGTATCCTATCCGACATAGTTGACACTATCCGTATTCGAATCCGAATCCAGACAGAAATATGAAAACAAATGTAATATCGGTGATATCCGTCCGTATCCGATCCGTTTTCATCCGTAAGTGTGGATAATATGCACCTGCTCTACTCGACGGGTGGAGATTCTTACTCATTATTAACATATCCCTAGTTGAAGAAATCTTTCCATACCCACGTCTTTGTCGGGTAAAACCGGCCAGGTAGAGCCAGGTTTGATGTACCCACCACCATCACCTGTAGAGCACTGCAAAGCCCTCCCAACCCTAACAGAGAAGAAACTTGGCATCAGTGGCAGAGCACAGCATTAAACAAAGGGAGGGCTAGTTCGAGGAGCCACCTACAGAGATTGTTCATTTCTTTTGGTGTGACGCATAGATTCACATATTTCTTTATCTCCAAAGCTGGCAGCTGCTGAGCAAGGGAGGCCGAAGCCCAGCTTCGCCTCCACTATGCTCCGCCACTGCTTGGCATGGCAGGTTGAAGTTTAAAGGCAATACGTAGTGCCAGTAAAGCCGAATTGGGACTGGAAGTACAATTTTCATAACTCAGGCTGCAATTTCCTACTCCCTCCGTCCTATTGAGTTTGTCGTTGGAAAACCGTGCCTCCCTCACAATCCCGCTTCCCGAGCGACAATCTTAACGGGACGGAGGGAGTACTCCCTTCTGACCACATTACTGTTCTCTCTCACCTCAAAGGTCGTTTTCAAGAAAACGCTTTTACAGTCTATGAACCAGTCACGTCAATCTTCCATCTCCTTTTCAGCAGAGGTTGTGGCTTTTTAGGCGTTAGTGCATGTTTAGTTCCTCTCCAAAATACTAAATTTTTCAAGATTTTTCGTCACATTAAATATTTGGACGCATGCATGAAGTATTAAATATAAATGAAAAGTAAAACTAATTACATAGTTTAGACGAAATCCACGAGACGAATCTTTTAAACCTAATTAGATTATGATTGGACACTAATTATCAAATAACAACGAAAATGCTACAGTATTATTTTGTTAAAATTTTCGGCAACTAAACTAGGCATTAGTCTCCTCTGCAAGCTGTTCTGACAGACTGCGGGCTTCTGTCTGCTTACTACCTCTTTCTTCCGAGTGGCATCCGATCCTACATGTCCGTGCGGAGCTGCTGACACGAGCACGTTGGGTTGACTTGTTCGTATCGTTGTTGGTTTGTGAGAAAGTATTGCTGGTTGATTTGTGTGAGAGAAAAATATTATTTCAGCTGGAAATTTATGATCGTTTAGGACAAGCCAACGCCAAACGAAGAGGCTGACGGTGGTGCGTTGGACATGGCCTTAGTACCCTTGCACTAGTTGAGTAGTACCCATCACTGCTGCAAAAAGGATATATTTGTAGCAGCCTCTTATTTTTTTTAAGGGGCGGCTCTATATTGAGCCGTCCTACAAATGGTTTCTAAACGAGTCATCCCTATAAATCTATTTGTATGGATTGTGGGTATTATCAGAGCCGCGTCTAAAAATAGACACTGCATAGTAAAAATTAAGTACTAAAATTCAAAAAATTTAAACGACCTTGAATGAAGAAATGACCAAAATAAAAGTTGTAGATCTCGAAAAGTTATAGAACTTTGTTGTTTCCAACTTTTTTATTTGAAATCATTTACTATTTCAAAATGCTTTTTGAAATATAATTTTTAAATTGTTGAAGAAGTCTGATTTCTCTTGTTAATCTTTGGCTAAAACTTGTGACTAGTCTTTCTTCCTCATACTAACTTCAAATTTGATGATTTTTTCCTAATTTTTTTTCTAAAATCATGCTCTATCAATTTATTGTGTTCTAACAACTATTATTTTAGTCATCTTTTCATGTGACTGTGTTATATCAATTGAAATTTAAATTTAAAAAAATGGCAACTTCAAACAATAGTTATGAATGTAAAAGTTGTCTCCCTGATCAAGATCTACAACTTTTATTTTAGTCATTTCTTCATCCGATAAAGTGGTAGTAACAACATTGTTCGCAAATTTTACTTATCCTATAAGAGAGATATAAAATTTATGAACAATGTTACTACAACTATATCAGATGAACAAATGACAAAAATAAAAGTTATAGACCTCGAAAAGTTATAGAACTTTGTAGTTGACAACTTTTTCATCTGAATTCATTTTATCAGGGAATACTACGTTTGAATTTCTCAAATTTGAAATTTGATTTTTTCAAACGATCTCGGACGGAGAAACAACCAAATCAAAAGTTGTAGATCTCGTAAAGTTATACAACTTTGTAGTTTATAACTTTTCCATTTGAAATCATCTTGTTAAGGAAAACTATGTTTGAATTTCTCACTTTTGAAATTTGAATTTTTCAAATGACCTCGAATGGAGAAACAACAAAAACAAAAGTTGTAGATCTCAAAAGGTCATGTAACTTTGTAGTTGACAACTTTTTCACTTGAAATCATCTAGTTGAGGATAATTACGTCTAAATTTCAAACATTTGAAATTCAATTTTTTCAAATGGCCTCGAATGGAGAAACAATAGAAACAAAAGTTGTAGATCTCGAAAAGTTGTACAACTTTGTAGTTGACAATCTTTTGATTTGAATTCGTTTAAGGTCTCAAACACTCAATTTAAACTCGATTGAGGATAATATGAGGGAAAAGAAAATCCATTATAGACGGAGGTGAGTGTGAGGTGCAGGGGTAAGAGGAGTGTACCGCGCGAAGGGTTGGTCGTGGGTTCGAGTCCCATCGGCCACTAAGTGCATGAAAAATGCTACGACACCTGCCCCTACAAATCATCAACCGCCCTTACAAATTAGATTTGTAGGGGCGGCCAAATCATCGATTTGTAGCAACGGTTTGGTAGAGGCCGCTGGCAAAACTGCTTACAAATCCTCGGTGGCGTAGTGCATGAAGATTGAAATAACACAATATATTTTATACACCTTACAACAAAAACATTTGATATCTACTATTTAGAGAGCATCTCCATTTATGTTAGATGATGTACTATTACATTGTCATTTAGGAATCGGTTAGATAAGTACATCTGTTTATTTAATGACAAAGGTGTCTCTGTTTTAACGATGATCTGAGTACATAAATGTAGGTCTGTCATATAGTATTGCATAATCTGCAAATAGTAAACACATATATAGCCACAGGAAAAATATAGTGACAGTGTAAAAAGTAGCTTGTGGGCGAGACATACGTATGTTGGGTTAACGTACTATCACTGTTTGTCTAAACAGTTGTTTTGTAAGTTAAAACAGTGCTGTAAACGAAGGCCACCCATACCGTTTAGGCCATAAACGGTGAACTAAAACTATTGGACTGTTCAAATCATGAAAAACCATCTAAACACTCTAAATATAATCAAGTTAAACGTAATTAAATGTGCTAACAGCCATCACTATGTAAAAAAGGGTCATATCAACCAGCAATTCTACAGACGTCACAGGAAAGCGCGTCTGTGATAAACATCTACAGACGCGCGTTACCGAACAAGCGTCTGTAGTAACTTCTAGACCGAGGTGACCGGTCCGGCGGGGTCAACACGTGTCTGTAATAACGGTTTCTACCGACGCGTGTTATTCAGACGCATTTGAAATAATTTCACAGATATTGACTTATTACAGACGCGTGTTTATTGTTTAGACGCATGTTTCTAAGACGTGTCTGTAGCAATTTTATTTGGTCAGACGCCTGTTTTGAAGGCGCGTCTGTACAATATTTTGGCGCGTGCTAGATAGTTGGCCGATACAACATTCAGATCAATTCATTAACTGCGCCGCTGCTCTGCTCATCGCGCCACGGTGGAGCCTCAGCTCCAGGTCTAGGCGGCACGACGCTAGCTCCTTGGCCGGCGGCGAGAGAGGCTCAGAGAGCTCAGCTCATCAGCTTACGGCGGTGGAAGGCCGTGGTGCTCGCAGCGGGCGCCCACGCGGTCCACTGCGGCGGGCGCGCGGCTCGGTCGGCAGGCGTTGCTTGGGGCGCACGTGGCAAGGCGGGCCAACGAAAGACGGGGCGCGGGACATCTTGGGCGGCACGTACAGACGCGACGCGTGCGCAAATGCGGCCGTGGCGGGTGCGACGCAGTGCGGCACCGGCTAGCGCGAACCATGCGGTGGCGCCGGCGCCGGTGGTTGCGGGCAGCCGGGGCGTGCCCAGGCGTGCTAAGGCCACCGACCGGCCATTCCCCTTCACCTCTTTTCTACTCTCGATCCATATCGATCCTTCCGGCAGCCACGTACCGTCCATCCACCAACAACATCCTCTCAAGGTTGATTGGTCCCCGGCGTGAGCTCAGCTCAACTCAGCTCAGGTAGTGACCAAAATCATTCCTAATAATAGAATCATAATTTTTGTGTGAGCTTGATCAACTCAACTGCTAGATGGAATCCGTGTGCTTAATTCTATCTCGATCTCTGCAGGGTGCGCTCATGCTTATTCGATCTATGTTGTGATTCGCCATCGCCATAGCAGTGCTTCATCGCCCAGCAGTGGCCAGAGGTGAGCTCTGCAACTACTTGTGCAACTAATTAACTTGCATTCTAAACTTTGATGAGCTTGTGTCAAACTATGATGGTGGAACATGTTGCTGAATTGTGCCAAAATTGTTGTGTTGTGACAATTTCTTGATATGATTGACTTATTATTCTTCTATTTTCAATTTTCTTTTGTAGACTATGGAGGATCAAAGCCGCTGGATATATCTTCGGAACCGTACTTGTGATGACTATTTAGATGGTCTCAAATCTTTCCTAACTGCTGCAAAGACAGATATGTTGAATAGACAGAAGTCATCTATGTGGTGTCAATGCGTTGACTGTAAGAATGAAAAGCAATACTCGAATTCGTTGACAGTCCATGCCCATCTAATAATGCGAGGATTCATGGATGACTACAGATGTTGGAACAAACATGGAGAAAAAGGTGTCAATGCCCGAGACCAGGCGCAGGATGGTGAGGAAGGCCTCCATGAAACTATTGCTTGTGGCGAGGAAGCACGCTTTGGCAATGAGGAACTATGTGATGATGATGTAGCAGATATTGATGCCAACTACGATGCAGTCCATCTTGCTAAAAATCTAGAGGAGATGGTGCGTGATGCCTTTGGCTTTGAGGAGTACACTGGTTCGGAGTTCAAGAAGATGGAACAACTTTTGAAAGATATGAAGATGCCAGTCTATCCGGGTAGCAATGAGAGGTATACAAAGTTGTCTGCTTCGCTAAAGCTTCTCCAATTGAAGGCAAAAATCATTAGACTAACATGGGCTTCAGAGAATTGCTAGAAGTGCTTATGGATATGCTTCCCGAGGGGAATGAGATTCCCAGTACTACATATGAGGCCAAGAAGATTGTTTGTCCAATGGGATTGAAGTTTAAGAAAATTCATGCTTGCAAGAATGACTGCATCTTGTTCCATGGTGACTATGAAGCTGATACAGAATGCCCCAAGTGTGGAACCTCTCGTTACAAATGAAGAACTGATGAGGGTGATGACGACGAGGAGATGCGCCATAGAGTTCCTAGGAAGGTCGCATGGTACTTCGCTATAATTCCTCGCCTAAAACGGTTGTTTGCAACCTCCAGGGACACATGACTGTTGACTTGGCACTCAGATGGGCGGACGGTTGATGATTATATACGCCACTCAGCAGATGGTATTCAGTGGCGGGTCATTGATTTTTAGCATAAATCATTTTCTGATGAGCCAAGGAATCTTCGGTTTGCACTGAGCACAGATGGCATGAACCCATTTGGTAACATGAGTAGCTCACATAGTGTCTGGTCTGTGCTATTAACTATCTACAACATTCCACCGTGGCTGTGTAACAAGCGGAGGTACATGATGATGTCAGTTTTGATCTCTGGTCCATATCAACTAGGTGTTAACATCGACGTGTTTCTGAGGCCGCTTATTGATGATTTCCAAAAGCTTTGAAAAGAAGAGGGAATTAGAGTGTACGGTGGTTTTAGGAATGAGCTTTTCAACTTACGTGCCATGCTGTTCACCACCATCACTGATATTCCAGGACATCATAGCGTGTCTGCTTTCAGTGCTTTGATGACACCGAGACTGTTTGGCTGAATAACTCAAAGAAGAGGGTTTATGTAAGGCACTGATGTTTCCTTCCTTTGTCTCATCCATACATGGAAATGAAACGTCAATTTGATGGGATGAGGGAGACAGGATCTGCCCCAAGGAATTTTAGCGGGAAACAGGTCTATGACCAGGTCCTAAAGGATACCACGCCCATAGATGAACCGGAGAGCACTGTCCTTGGAAAACGAAAGCGCAATGCAAAAGCAAATAGTGCCGATAAGAAGAGGTGGAAGAAAATGTCAATCCTATGGGAGCTACCTTACTGGAAATACCTAGCGGTCCGCCACATCATCGATCTCATGCACGTGAAAAAAGAATGTCTGTGGGAGTTTGCTTGGGACACTCATGAATGACAAGTGGAAAACCAAGGACCATGCTAAAGCAAGAGCCGACCTAGAGGAACTGGACATAAGGCCTGAGCTCCGTCGTGACAGTACCAGTGTCTAGCCACCTCTATCTGCCATAAACCTAACCCGACAAGAGAAGTAGGAATTGTGCGACTTCTTTCGTAGTGTCAAAGTTCCCTCTGGATATGCAGCCAACATCTGAAAGCTTGTGCTGGCAAGAGAAAACAAAATGCTTCCTATGAAGGCTCATGATTGCGATGTCATGCTCACAACAATGCTTGTGGTTGGTATCCGGAACATATTGCCAGAAAACCCCGAATGGCAATCATGAGCCTATGCTTCTTCTTTAATGCAATCTCCCAGAAGGTCATTGATGAACGAACACTGGACGATCTTGAAAAGAACATGTGTGAGATGATGTGTCTCCTTGAGGCTTACTTTCCGCTGACTTTGTTTGATATATTCGTCCATCTCATTGTACATTTGGTTAAGGAGATCAGGTATCTTGGACCGATGTTCCTCCACCACATGTATCCATATGAGAGATTTAAGAGTACTCTGAATAGGTATGCCAAGAGCATGGTTCATCCTGAGGGAAGCATGGCACAGTGCTATTCTACTGAGGAGGTGGTCGACTGGTGCCTCATTTACATTGATCCCACTAATCCAATCGGCATCTTCAAGTCTCGCCATGAGGGAAGACTAGCGGGGAGAGGGTGTCCTGGGGAGAAGCAAATTAGTCCAGATACAAATGACTTCGAACGAGCCCACTTTCTAGTGTTGCAACACACAACAGAGGTGGAACCTGACATCGAAGAGCATATGGAGATGTTGAGGTAACAAAATCCAGATCGGGCGAAGCTTGGTTAGTGAGGGCACATATGAGTGGGTTCAACATCTGGTTTAGAGATTGACTTCGCAGTTTGAGCTCTTGCATAGACCAAAGGCTTCGACGGCTGGTAACAGGCCCTTTCTTCACAGTCACAACTTATCAAGGCTATGACATAAATGGCTACACCTTTTACACCATTGATCAAGACAAGAAAAGCGTGTACCAGAACTCTGCTGTTCGTGTAGATGCATTTGACAGCAATATGCAGAAGATAGCGTACTATGGTCAGATTGAAGAGATATGGGAACTCTCGTATCCAGGCTTCAAGGTGCTCGTTTTTCGGTGTAGATGGGTTCAGGGAAGACAGGGTGTCATGAAAGACAAGTATGGCTTCACTACCGTAGACCTTGAACAAGTTGGGTACAGGGAAGAGCCATTTGTAGTCGCAAGTCAGGTTTCCCAAGTCTTCTATGTGCGCGACACTAGAAACAAGAAACGACAAGTGGTTCTCCCTGGGAAAAAGCAGGTTGTCGGAGTTGAAAATCCAGTAGAAGAGTTCGAGTACAATCAATCCAATGAAGTCCCTCTTTTTGATACTTCCATCCTCCCGGTGATTTTGGCGAGCAACCTAACTCCATACCTAAGAGATGGCCGTAAAGAGGATGTCCCCGTGGCAAAAAGACGCCGAAAAAAACGAGTGCCCAAAAATTGATGATCTTGTGAGTGATTTCAAGAGACTTCATTGATTTGGTATGAGAACTCATTAGTATTCAATAGCATGCTGCTACCTATAGTTTTGCATAGCAAGTTGCTGAACTTATCTTTTATGCAGGATAGGAGCTGGAGGTCAGAGAGATAGGAGGCAGCTCCAAAATGTCAATTCTAAGAGATAGGAGCTTTCTGGTGTAAAATTTGAAAACTTATTTTGCTTGTAATGTTATGCTCACAGCCCCTTGTAATGTGTATGGTACCTTGTGGATGTATGCCGAAATTTGCTACTTCATTTCCATTTAGATGAAACAGGAGGGTCACCCACTGATTTTATTGATATTTTAAAAAAATAAAGTATAGCCTAGTACAAAAGAATCAAGATACAAAGAAGGATATGAAGAAAATAAGTAAAATTACACAAATGCTTTTGCACAAACATAGCCAAGCTTTTTTTTATCTTCCTTTCCACGCATTGAAGCTGATTTGTCCATTATAAAAAATGACATCATTTCTGGTCAGCCAGATGACCCAGCAGGCAGTGATAAAATCTCACTTAAAGACTGCTTCCAAAAGCTTCTATAACCATATCTAATGGCTACAAGTTCAGGTTCCAATTAATTGAGATCAAGTTCCAACAATTAAGTTTGACTGAAAGAACACTCAGCTTGTTTCTTCATGTCCTCTATGGCATTGAACTTGCCACCAGAAGATGAGAAATATGGTATTGTCTTATACCAGAATAATGTCCTTATGTTTCTTTTTTTTCTCGAATACGCAAAAAATTTACGTATCATTGTATTAAGTAGAAGAGTTTAAACAGACATACAACGCGCTTCTATCGAGCGTCGAAGGAGGTCGACTTAACACAGCCGTAGTTGGACCATTCTAGCAAAATACCTTTTGCTTCGATATTACATAAAAGGAAACAACCAAAACTGACGCAGCGGTGCGACCTAGGAGGTGGCCTTGCGTCTTCGCAGCTGCCTGGATGTGCCCTTTCCAACTGCCGGGATGAGCGCGTCCGTCGCCTCGGCCTCCGACACGGCCAGGTTGCCGTCGAAGAGCTTGTCAAAGGCCTCCACCTCCGGCGCTGATGGCGCTGATGAACCCTCGGTGTAGCCCATACGCTGTATGATCAGCACCTCATGTCGCTTGGAGTACTCGGGACAAGCTCTGAGCCGCCAACCGCCTGCTCCGCCACCACAGCACTGGCTTAGCAGGCGGCTGCTTGGGAGGCTTATGAATCAGCGGAGAGTCCCTCTTATACACCACTGCCTTGGTGAAGCTGTCGAGGCGGCTCTTGAAGGAGGCGTCATCGTCAACTGTCTGGTGGGTGTCCTCCGGCGGCGTACTTGGGTTCGGTGCTTATGTTTCTCTGCGAGCAAGTTGTGTTCTTATGTGACTGCTCGGCCAAGATTTGATGAGAATGGAATATGCATTTTTAATGGAAAAATTAGATGCTTTCCTCTAGTTACTTTTGAGCGTCCTAAGAGGAGTAGTGTTAACTGGCTAGCTGGGGCAATGGAAGCGAAGCCGATAGCATCAATTACAAGAGATGTAATTAGAGAATTCATGATTGATAAGGTTTTTTTCCTGCTATTCGAGCAAATGGCCACGTGAAGATGTTAAGAATCCTATCTACATTCTACAAGATAATGCACCTTCTCATATTCGAGTAGAACTTGATGATCCCACACATCCTCACAGCTGCTAAGATAGATGATCCACAGGTCAGTTGCCGCTGCTGCACCAAAGATGCACCACCAACTTGTTGCAGCGTCCGTTGACGAGGACCATCGTCAAACTGACTAACACCGGCCACCATAGGATGCCCCGGCAACGAACGGGATATACCTTGCGCCTCGTGGAGCAACATCACGTGGAGTATAAAAATAGCTAGAATAAATTTCATGGTAAAATTTATTTGGTATCATAAATATTATTAGTTTTTTTTTGTATAAATTTGGTCAAACTTAAAAAAGCTTGACTTAGGACAAACCTAAAACATCACTTATTTTGGGACGGAGGGGGTAGCTAACTAGCAATTAGTCCTTATATTCAAACATGCCCTAAATCTGCTCCATCCCTTTGTTATTTTATTTTCTCTCGGTGTCATGCCATGGTCACATATATATCATTGCCGATTTCACTACTACAAGAATCATTTCTAGGGGCGGCTGGTGCAGCTTTGTAGAGGCAGCTCGGTCAGCCGCCCCTACCATACCGTCTCTACAAATCATGTATTTGTAGGGGCGGTTCCTAAACCGCCCTTACAAATCGATTTGTAGAGGCGGCTGGTGTTATCTGCCGCCCCTACAAATCGATTTGTAGCCTCCCCTATAATACCTATTTGTAGGGGCGGTTCAGTATACAACCGCCCCTACAGTATATTTTTTCGCCAAAAAAAATTAAATTTACAATTCAAATTCAACCAGAACATATATATATATATATATATATAATTCAAATCTGACCAGAACATATATAATTCAAATATGACCACAAGCACAAGAGCATTATATAAACTATCATTACAAGTCCAATTCACAAGAATATATACAATCCATCATCAAATATACGATCAAAGACCCATGTCATGCTCCTCCCGATATCGACGCCTATACAAATGCAGTGGTTGTTGCATGAATTTAATCATAGAACTAGATAAGCTGTTTTGCATCGAATAAAATATATCGAACAAAGCTTTAAGTATAGAGTTGAACTTACTCGAAGTTGTATGGTAGCCATATAGTATAGTGTTGTTGGAGATTTTGTAAACATGAGAGGATATGTGTACTTGCAGTTCCCAGTTAGCTACTACAGAATGTATTTGGAATAATGGAAAATGGAAAGAAATTCAGAGGAATTGAATGTAGCAAGAGATAACTACTTATAAAATCCACCAAGAGACATTGTCAGTGTGGCAACATTGGCCCATTATTTTACTTCGAACTCCTTTCATTTCACTTCAAGTCTTATACTTCTAAGATAAAGATATGTTGGTACATATATTTGTACAAGTCATTCATTTTTCATTCCTTTCTTTCCTTGTTTAAATTGATCAGATACTACCTTCACTAGCTTGTTAAGATCTTTTGCTATCTTAAGATTGGTAACAGGAATAAGAAAAAACAGTTGCACAAAAAAGTGGCATCTTCACCTTAGGTAGAGTAATCCGATTTCTTTTTGTCCTAAACTTTTCCTTCAGAAGATGCTGGTTCCAATTTTCTAGTATCTACACATGGGCAAAAAAACATTAAATTTCTTACAATGTTGTGTACAGGCTTTCAGTAAAAAGGATGAGATATTTAGGAATCACATCATATTATGAGGAAGTGATTACAAATGACTTTTTTTCATCCTATTTGATTATCTTTTAACAACACTAGTGCTAGTGTGAGCACCATCTGTAAATCCTACAAAAGGAGCAACTACTTTTGTTTCTTGTAGTTCAAGAGCCAACTGATAAGAGTAGTAAGACATCGAAGTACTACTATAGCTGCAGCTACCAAGCAATCATGTAAACACTTTTTTTGCACAGATAACACTAGTCACGAACCTGGTTCCATGAGAAGCCACTGCGTCTCCTGTACAGATCGAAATCAGAAACAGATTAATCATCTTAATCATCAGTAGAGATGAACAGGTAGAGAGCATAGAGTAAACGATTACATGGAACAGAAGAGGAACACGATAGATCGGGCATAGAGAGCGATAGATCTGGTAAGAGCGCGGATGGGCGAGATCAGATTGCGAGGCTCACGCGCTGGCTTGGGCATGCTCGAGCGAGTCCAGCGTAGACGCGTGTGGTGCGCTCCTCCTCCGCAGCCCTCAGGGCCGAGACGACCATAAGCAGCACTGATTGTAGTGGGAGTTCTTGAAGCCTTTGTCCACCCTATTGCCATCAGTGGGGCTGTTTAAGAATACACAGATTCAAAAGCTAGCTTAGTTTGTGTGGTGACGTAAACAAAAAAGTGCCTTGACAAGATAGTATTCTGAAATGGCATGCTGCTGTGTATCACTGAAAATATGTTTTGAGCAGAGATGGAACTACTCCTAGCCATGCATATGCATGCTGCTGCTTTAGCTGAGCACAAGCACAAGCTGGCCATCACATGTGCAAGAAAGTAATCATAAATGATAATTAAAATGTAGCAGCAGCAATGGCAATTGATCTAATAATAAATATCAACTAGTTTATCAAACTAATTCATCTAAAGTTATACACAATTCCTGGTCAACTGCATCAATATGCAATGCAAGTCATTTGTATCTCAAACATATATGCTGCAGAATAAGAAAGTAATTAGACAGACGTAGCTACTTAGGCCCATCATCAGTAAAATAAGTTGTAAGTTCAAATCAACATATTGTAGTAGCAACCCATCATCCATAATATTGCATAAATAATAGATGCAAATATTTACACACAATTACCGCGATTTTTCTACAACACTTGCTCTGGTTGCCTAGTCGATTCCATGTGCTTTGAAGAAAAAAGATTGACCAAGATTTGTTGCCTAGAACTAAATGTGCGGAAAAGAAAGAAACTCTGCAAGTGTGCGCCCCTGATTGAATCCTACAACCAATTTAGCAATTGGTTGCTCAGCTAGCAACTCAACGTGAGATTAATGGTGTATAATTTAATAATATGGATGTTTCTTCATGCAATTCTTTCTTCTTTGGTTATTAGCAGAATAGAAGTAGTAGCATGCTTACAGGATGAATCTCTATATGTCTTTGCCAAAGTTTTAGCAAACCAAAAAGAGCGTCAAGATAATATACAGGGCCAAACACAGGAAATTTGGCATTAACAGTTACTTTGTTCTTCTGAATTTCACTACCGAAAACAGTAGCTTTGCCGTGTGCCACAGGCACTCGGCAAAGCCCAAAAAACACTCGGCAAAGGATTTGCCGAGTGTAACACTCGGCAAATAGCACACGTCATCTACAGTGCCGGCAAACAGTAGTTTTGCCGAGTGTTTTCTATCGCGCACTCGGCAAAGATTTTGGCGAGAGCTGAAACCAACGCTCGGCAAAAAAAGTGACGTGACAGAGTGGAGACGGTCACGGCGAGTTTGCCGAGTGTCAAATCTCGGGCACTCGGCAAACTTGGCAGCTTTGCTATGTGTCAACGTCCAGGCACTC